AGGATGATCTGACTTTCATACCAGTCACAAACTGATTTTTTTTTTTTTTTTTTTTTGTCTCTGACTTATTTTTTACCTTGTGAGTTTCCAAAAACAATCTTGGAAAGTGGCTATGGAAGTCAGGGAGTTATTGTAAATTAGACATTTTCCACTGAGTTTCCTGCGAATCACTACTGCTCATTCAGACAGCAGGTTAGAAAAAAAATTAACCAGACCTCCAATCTCCACAATAGAGTTCATAGCCTGCTACATCTAATGAAAGGCTGAAATTCCTTAAAATAACATGACCTTCATCATATAAACAAGCAGAGGAAAAAAATTTGCTGCAAGCTTTATGTTCTGGCTTGTATGGGAAACTCTTCAAGTAAACAAAACTTTGTTCTTCTCTAGCTAATCGTTTGGTTGTCTTGATGAAGATTGTACTAGCTTAGGGAGATCTGGGCATATATACTTAATCAGTCTATTCTTTTTTTTCATAGTTTTTGGCATTTGTTATCAAAACTCATGTTTGCATCCAGCTAGGCAGTCTGGATTTTTTTCATTTCTGGCTAGACCCCTTTAAATCTTGATAAGGACAGTTCCAGCGTTTGTCTGGGAAAGCTGACATCCTAACACCACTCAGTATTTTTCTGGGTAGAAAATGAGAGGAACTCCATGCAAACATCAAGGGCAGGCCTTCTCAGGCATAAAATGCTAATCAGTTCTTTTTGTAAAGACTTTGCCTACTTGAACCAGGAGACTTTTTTCCTTTTTTTGTGCGTGTCCCTGCCTAGTCAATAGAATAGCAATTTTTGGGCCAGCTACAGTAGGTTACAGATTGTCTCTGAGAGATGTTGAGATGACGTGGCTGTTTCTGCAAGGCTGATTTTGATCCTGGAGTGTTTTTTATCTCGGTGTACTACTGTTACTCTGGTGAGCACAGCAGGATGTCCATATTTTTTAGACTAGCTCTGCACGCTGTGTAATGCAACGTGACCCAGCCTTACCAAGCATCCACTACACAAGTTGTTCCACGTTTTTTGTAATGTGACCTTTTGGTGTTACCCTTTTTGAACTTTGGTATGTTGAAAGTACAAAACAGACCTGAAGTGTCTGAAGTTTGTATAAGCAAAACCAAAAACCTGACTAAACAAAACATTTTGTCTTCACCGTACTGCTTTTGGTTGAATAAATGAAGCTTGGATCCTTTTAGTACCTTTTGCCATTTTTCTTTTGTGGCTTGTCTCAACTTTCTGTGAGCATGGCTATGATTTTGATGGTGACTTTAAATTTATTGTGCTTTCTGCAGTTTCTTTCTCACTTTACTTTGATAGTTAAATTTTAGGAAATTGAAACTATCCTTCACTTTTGTGATCGTGTTGCACTGATAGGTGCTTCCATAGCTTGTTTACCATATAGTTTTAGAACAAAACTCTGAAACTTAACAGTCACCCCCTGTCATAGTTATTGAATTTGTTTTTTGCTTACTGAATTAATATGTGACTATCACAATGCTTGTTTTTATTAATGTTTGTTTCAGGATATTTTGGCCAAGTGAATAACTTAGTCAAATCATAAAAATGACATTTCAGGAAACTGAACTTGCATATAACTTGGAACAAGTTTGTGGTAGCAAAATGTTATTTCTTCCTATGGTCTCAACCTTAATTTATTATCATTTGCTGTAGATTGTACTTGAACGTTGGTAGTGAATTATAACTTTGAAGTGAAGCAGAGCCTGAAATCCTGCTGAAAAAAAACGTCACACCATGATACATTGTGGAAGTATGGGTTATCATGGAATATACTTTTGTAGACATTAAGGCAAAACCTAGATATTTGTGATATCTTTTTGTGACAGAAGCCTGGTCAGAGTCGCATCTAAAAAATCTAAAAAGACAAAATCTAAAAAAAAAAAAAAAACCACATTAAAAATATTTTAAAATATATGTAATTAATACTTAATTGTTTTTTTAATTGTTGTGGTAATCTAGTGCTCTGTTCAAAAACTCAAAAAATTACAATAGCATTCAGCATATATTGTTCACTGAGTTTTAATTTTGTAAGTTTGGCAAGAGTATCTTTGCAAATGGCTTCATTTTCTGTTCTGCTTACAAGGCCAAATTCAGCTTTGTGTGTGTATTTAGATTTTTAACTTCAATTCCCTCATTACTTCTTCATGGTTACACTAGTGGCATAATTTTTTTCCTGAACCCTTGTTAACCCTTGACTGACCTTTCTTTTTGTATTTAAAACTAGGTTTTCTGCTAGGTTTTCTCTTTCCTGAAATTACCAGGATGTGCAGCTCCTTTGAAAATCTGGTCCTTAACCAAAGAGGTGTAGAGTTTGGAGAAGGGTTTTCGTAGTCTTTTAAAAATTTTTCTCATTTTCTGATAGTGTTCTCCTTAAACCGTGTGAGATGCTGAAGTTTTCATTTCTGCTTGCTCATCACCAGAACTCACAGAAAAGAAATCTGAACTTCTCAGTGCACGATGTCTTTCATGGTGCACGTAAAGCTGTCTGCATGGAAGCTTGCCAATCAGTTTGCAAAGGTTTTCAGTAGAAGCAAACTTTGCAATGTGCCACAATGGCAAAGAAATCTGGATTCTAATTTACAGAAGAAACTAATTTTTACAATGCTGAACCCTTCATAAGAAACCATGTGCTTTGAGCATATCTTGCTTCAGTAGGCCACCGCTTTGATCCTCTGAAGAGGAGCAATATCTTGAGCTTAACTAGATTCCAGTTTGCTTAGCTTCAAATGTTAAAACACAAACCTTGAGTTCTGGTCTCTATCTTAAATGTAATTAGTACATTTTTTAAACAAGTTTCTGTAATGAGACAGGTTGTTTAGCTACAGCTGCACCGTGATTATCCAAAGGAAATCAGGAGCTTAAAAGCATCCGGTTTACATAAATGTGCAGAGAAGTAAAGTTGTTACTGTCTTTCATTTGGGGTGACAAGGTCTTTCCTCATTCTCATGGTATCACCAATGAACTATCTTACCTGTAATGTGGCTGAGATCTGTACGCTCACTTATTTGTTTTCCAGTTGGAACTGTGGGAATAGATAAATTCTCCTCAGAGAATCTTTCATAACAGTGTGTTTACAGGTAGCTTATCGCCCTTCCATCAGCCACCTGGATAGCACTTTGGCATGCAGACTTCTAGGTAACAGCATGGACTGCTTGCTCTTGGGCCATAATGATGAAAGTTGCTTTGAAAACTGTGAGACCAAGCTCTTACAAATCTCCACTTACCCAAAAATTCTCTCCTGTAAATATGATTTTATTACTCTTCCAAGTTTTTTCTTAGCGTTCATGAGAGCTTCTCAAATATCCTTTGCATTTTCAGAGTGTGCAGAGGGCACAACCTTCTGCATAGAAAGTGAAATCACAAGACAGGAAACAAATGATTGTTTTAGTTGGTTATCTTTCCTTTGTCTGTGCAGTGCCATAACTAATCACACCTAACATGAGTGGATTTATATCTAAACATCACTGAGATTTTCTAAGGATCAGCCCTTTATTGTGCTAGCTGTAAGATTTCCTTCATGTGAGGAAATAGTTTCTTTGTCAAAAGCCTTTCAGTTTAAATATGTGATGAAAACCAGAATATAAGTTCCCAATGAAGTAAAAGGCATGAAAGTAGTGGGAAGAGGAGTGTAGTCACATTATGTAAATATCTTGGCATCATTTTTATAGTCCTGCATCTCATTCTTTCATTGTGAAATCTTACAGTGTTTGAGATTCTTACAGTAAACATCCCTTGTCCTTTATGTCTCATCACAAGAAAAAATGCAGTAGATTATTATCTGCCCAGCTGATCTGGTGGAGGTGCTTTTCATGAGTGTGGATATGTATGTAGTGGATAGAGCAGCAAAATAATTCTAGTCATTCAGAAATGTTATGCTGCTTATTCTACACAAGATCCTAGAAGTGTAGCCACTTTCCTTTCTGCCTTGATTTGTTTTTATTTGGATACCTCTGCAATTAACATGCCTTGGAATTAAACTCAGCTAAGGTTAGAACCTGAGTTATTTTTAAGCTTCTGTTTTGTGTGTGAAACTCTTCTCTTAAAATCAATTTAGGTTTATTTATTAGAAGAAAATCTTTCTTGTTTGCAGTGGCTTGATAAGGTGGAACTTCTCCAGAGGGAAGATATGAAATACAGATTTCTGGGGGGAGTTCTAGGTTCAGGAAATAAAGATGACCCTTCTTGCTGTCTGAACCTCATCTACTTAGTATTTGTTGGACTTCTTAACCTGCCTTGGGGGCCCCTTGTCCTGTATTGTTGTGATGAGTAATGAAATGTCATTGCTGAAAGTACTGCCTATTTGTCATGAAAATTAAATGTATTCAGATTGACTGAATAGAAACTTTGTGCTCTCAAGCAGGAAAGCGTGCTTTCTCCACTGTATGGAGTCTGTTTCCAAAGAACAGTTTGATTATCCTCAAGATAAGTTTTGACTTATACCTGGATATATACATATATTTTTGGAATGGCTTCTTTCTTTTTTTTTAATCTTACAGGAGGAGAAAGCTATAGAATCCTTTGTCATCCGATGTCTTACAAAATAAGAAAGCAAAACTGAATATGTGTTTTAGTTTCACTGTCCATGATGAGGGCCATTTGGATGTTAGGAGGTTTTAGAGTAGAGTTTGTTTCCTTACCATTTTAGTCAATGGAAAGGTATAGAAATCATCTGTGGGATGTCATGAAGGAAACACTCATGAAGAATGAATTCCAGTTATTCAAAACTAATAACGTTATATAGTTATCTTTCTGGTGATTGTCTTTCAGGGAGTTGTCAAGCCTCTCTTGGGCAGAGCTGCTGTCTGGAAAGGAAATCAGTGGGTTTGCCTTGGGCAGTTTCAGACATGTTCAATGTGTGATGTGAGGTGTACTTACAGTTTTGTTCATACATACCCATCCTGTCACAGAAACAGCACTTCAAAACCACTCACCTTGTATCTGTGTAGCACAGCTTCTTACCTTTACATAGGTAATTTTCAGATAGAAATGAAATGTATTTTTAATTGAAAAACTTGAAATATATATTTTTTTTTTCTTGAAGGAAATAATTCTGTGGCTTTCTGCTTTAATCAATGCCTGCAAGGTATTTTTTTTTTTTAATGAGTAACTCGAAACTATTCTCAAATTCAAATTACATGTAATATGATTATTGTTAAGGAACAATAGCTGGTAGTTAATATCTCATTTTTTATCTCCTCTAGGGAAATGCCACAGGAATTTTGTCTCTTATCTGTAGTGCTCATTGTTTCTTCCATGTTCTTCCATCAGTGGGGTGAGAGATCTAGTCTGTATTTCAGCAGCATGGTTAGCCTCCAAACATGTTGCAGGGTTACTGAACGCTACACGTAAGAATATCCAGGTCAAGTTGTAACCCTTAGGAAGAAAAGGGTAACAGAGCCCAGATCTGTAGATTGATCTTCATGTTGTTGCTGGTCTGGAAAGAACAAGTAAGATCTAAGAGCTCAGGGAATATATCTAATCTACTTCTTAGATTAATAGTAGAGGAATAAACTTCACTTTTGCTGTTCTGAAAGCACTTTTCCCAATCATTGCAAAACCCAGTGCAGCCTCTCAAAGCAGAAATGTTTAAACAGTCTGAAAGAAAGAGAACTCAAACTTGCATATGCAACATCATCTCCCAGTGATTCTTGCCATAATCATCCTGAATATACAAATGGATGTTTGTGTTGCTAGAAACACTGTGATCTGGTGTATGAGGTTATGTGCAAGCACAACAAATCTGCTTTTTCTGGCCAGTGTTGGTGAATGGTGCACAAAGAAGTCACTTTAAATGACTAAAATGGGTAAGGACTTTGCCAAAGTATCTACCATCCTAGAAACTTTTGAAGGCTATTTCCTTAAAAATTTGAGAAGCTTGGTGACTTATGGAATGATATTGAGTCTTAAGATAAAGCACAGATTAAAGCATATCCAAAGGATGATATTAACTTCATGAAGGCAAAAATGAATAGTAGTAAAAAGCCCTCAAACACTGATCCTCACATGATTGCTTTTATTATGTGAGGCTTGTTACAGTTTTCGTTGGAAAACGTTGATTGTTATGAAAAGAGATGTCCACTAGATGTCATTCATGTAATCTAGTTGTTGTTGCAACATTTTTAAGAATCTATTTAGGATGGTAGGTACAAATTATCAGCATTATTAGCTGTTTTTGTATATGCTGTGCTACTGATTTTATGTATAAGTTTGGGATGTTACAAATAATGTTTGTATTGTTTTGCCCAGTGATGGTTGTGACACTTATTAGCCTAGAACTCGTCTTCACGTGCATCTCTCATGTAAGAGCACTAAGGTGAGCTGTGTATGGTTTGTAACTGTTCTGCAGGGAGATATAAGATCACAGAGGTGAGGATGGTGTCTCTAAGGAAAGCAGAATTTCCCTGTGACTAATAAAGTCCATTTTACATTTGTTCTTTCATGTGCTCTTTACACCTCAAACTGCAGTTTGCTAGAAGAGAGAGTGCATATATATTAGGAAAAGCAGCTGGAATCTCATGAATTCGCACACACAAATAGATTTATATACTCACAAATCTTAGCTATAAAACCAAAATGTTGTATCTAAGATATTTCAAACTGAACCAATTCAAGCAAGCTTAGATAAAATTGCGTGGGCAGACAAATCTGAGGTTCATTTAGTCAGTTCTTCAGGTAGGCTGCTGGGCTCTATACAGGTGTAAGTTCGTAAGTAAGGCATGGTTGAGCTCCCTCCTCACTATCTCTCTAGTCTGGCACGTGTCACTAATTGCTAGACAGCTTCTGGAAAGCCACATCTGTACTCTCATTGAACGTGAACTGCTGGAGTATTGGCTTCTGCTTCTTCACACTTTCAAATTGGAGTAGCTACTGCAGCACTGGAAGCCAGAGATCACCGCTTCCTCCAGCCTCCCTCTCCTCTTCCATATGGAATAAAGAATTTCTCTGCCCTGCATAGTCAGCCAGAGGGCAGGATGGGGAAGTGATAATCCTCTTGGAATGAGCACTTGTATGAAAAATGATAAATGCTGCGTTGCATGGGGATTAACACTTGCTTATGAACTTGCTTGTAATGGAGTAATGCTTCTCTTTCAGCAGTGTGAAGGCTTGCTGTACTTCTAGGCCTGATTAAGAACCTTCACTACTGCTCAGCCAAGAGAACCATCTGCTGTCAGAAACATAACTGCATTAGGATTTGTCTCACTCCTGCATGTTGTCCTCAAGAACGCAAAATACTTTCACATACATCCACTTCCTTACAAAAATTCTTGTTCTTGCTGCTTTCTTCTCTCTCTCATTGTGAGACTTGCATTTCTGCTCGTGTTTAATGCATCTGCGTGAGATCTGTGCTTTGTTAGCATGAATGTGACCATCCAGAGCTGATTTAACTGATGGTGTTGCTGTGTAAAAAAAATAGTATTTATTCTCATGTTATTTGATGGGAGGGATTACAGTGTCCTGTGGGAGGGTCACAGAATGGGTCAGTCTGCAAGTTACTTGTGTTTATGAAGCTTCCTTGACATCTCTCTGTATACTTAGTACTGAGCACTACTGAGTGAAGATTTAAGGTAGAACCTGATTGCTGCTTTGTAGGATGGCCCTTTCTGCAGTGAGCTAAGTCATGCAAGGTTTGGTTAAGTTCATTCCTTAGGACTGATACATGCTAATGAATTTATGTGTGGTTGTTTCCTCTAACAGTGCTGCAGTACTGCTATGATATGCACAGACCCCAGCACAGTAGTAGCTATGGTTTTCCAGTGTAAGCAGCTTCTGGGAACTTAACTGGAAAGGAAGAACTTTTTGATAGAGTCAAATGACTTGATAGCTTCTATTCTATCTTCAAAAGTAGTGAGAAGTTTAAGTAAAAACCACTGAAGTTTTTCAGTGCTAAATCTACATATGAAAATGAATTTCAAATTACAGTCCTTTTTACTGTGATTTCTTCTGCCTTTTGCCATATTCAAATATGACGTTGCATGATGCCATAGCAGGTTTTTTTTTTTTTTTTTTTTTTTTTTTAAGTGAACTCTTCCTAACAAGCCTTGATGGTAAAAAGTAGGGATTTGTAATCTGAAGCTTTGTCTTTTAGTAAGCCCCTATTAATACTAAAATAGTTTACTGCTTAAGAGAAACAGAATTTTTTTTCTACAAGACTTTAATTCACTTATATTGAGAGTAATAAGGGCAAAGGTAAGAGTAAAGTAGCTCTGTTTTTTGACAAAACCATACTTCCTAACAATCAATTAATACACAGTATTCGCTGACTGGAATTTTCTCTTGTTATGTGAATTATTCTAGAGTAATCAATCCTGTACCTATACCCCCAAGGAGATCTCAGCATATTATCTAGCCTAAACCCTCACCTTTGTTGAGTTATATCTGTGTAGTGCTAAAATGCAATAATAGTAGGGTAGCGAAGTCCTAGGCTGCAGCATGTAAGGATAAGTACAAATATAGCAGCTGTGGATGTAGAAACAAAGGAAAAAATCTGCTCACCTTGGAAAGACCTCAAGTAGGGAGGGATCTTCAGCAAGATACCCTTATCTCCACTGCCAACCCATAAATGTGATGTGGGAGTGTGTGGATCCTGGCTTCACCCCTTCTGGTCCCTCAAGTACATTGCATGGATCTGAGCTCCCCTGGGCTGGTCCCTGCCTTCCCACCAGGTGTTCAATCACTGTTTCAAACCATGACTTAGCATTTCTGCTGCCATCTTTTGATGGTATATGTCCTAGTTTCTCTTCATTGGAAGCCTTGAAGTAGGTTCTGTGTTCTTGCTAAGTAGTTGGTTCTCCACGCTTACTAAGAAGGAGGAAAGAAATAGAACGTGTTCTAGATTCAGGAAACACCTTTTTACTTTCTTTTTACTTTCTTGCTAGTTGTGTATTGCTACAGTTTGTCACCATATTGTCTAGAGCAAACTTCTTAGTGTTTTTGTTTTTTTTTTTTTTGTTCTCTTCTACAGCGTGCTCTTTTCTGGTTTGTATGAGGAAAGCTCTTATTGGGTTTAGTGAGCTTTACAAACTTCCACCCATTAGTTTTACATACTAGTTATCTTTTCTGAAGGGTCACCTGGTGGTGAATTCTCATTCCAAATAAGTTGTCAGCAAAGGTATGGAAGACCCGACTTGTATGATTTTATATTTCAGAAAGCTATCGAGGTCAGAAGTAGAAGTTAAATTATCTTAGTCAAAAGGCTATTCTTTGCTAGATAAAAATGTAGAAACAGACACAAGGTTAACCTTTAATTTGCGCTTCAGCTGGTACGCGGAAAGTTAATATTTGTGGTTCTCATCAGAACAATCCATTGTCGCATGAAGTGGCCAAAATATGTACAAATAGCAAGTTGTGTGACTTCAACTAAAGGAGCCTTTGCTCAGTCTGTAATCTATTTAAAGCCTAGCTTAAAGACAAAGAATATAATATATTATAAATTCTGAAATCTCTTCATGCCACCAATGTATGATAACGTCTCTTCTAAACAAAGATTCTTTTGACCTTGTTAAATTTATCCTTGGAATGTGGGGTTAAGATAGCGGCTAGAGGCTTTTGACCATGGATAATAGCTCAGAATGCAACCAAGACTTCTGCAGTACACGCAAGTAATTAGCTTAGCTTAGCGGAGCAGAGGTTGCGTTTTAATTTAGCATGAGGCTTAAAACAATGGTCTCCAAACTTTATTTTAGTACTTCCACAGAACCGCAAAAAATCATTTTTTCCTCTCTGCATACATGCTTACAGATTTTATTTGGGGGTTTTAAATGTAAGAGTGCATGTGTTGAAGTAGTTTCTACAATATTACTTATTTGATTTATTTGTTTTTAAGTAGCTAGCTTGCATTCAGCAGTTTAGCGAAGTTGCAGGCTAAATGAGAACTAGAAATTAAGATCCCATAACAATCAGAATGATGAAAGAAGAGGAGATCTCTGGGCAGGAAGGGTTTGTGTATTAAGAATCTGGTCAGTTCATTTCAGAGAGTGTTATTAGTAACAGCACTTTTGCACAGTTGCTTTGTCTTTTCAAACTTTTCACAGATTCTCATGTATTTTTTCTTTTCCCTGTCGCTTAGCAGTTTTAGATAATAATGATGAGAAGTAAACGGTTGTATTGTTTCTTTTCTCAAGTAGCAGGAGCTGAAAGCATCTGAAAGTATCACTGTTTCTTGTAGTTGTTTCCTGTCCAGCTTGTGTGAGCTTCATCAAACATTCATCATGTAAGTTTTTCCTGAGATTTAAAATGGAAACACAGATGATTTTGTGATCAGTGTTCAGAATGCACCTCTACGCTTTCTTGCATCATGCTTTGGATGTTTCTAACACCTTCATGTGGTTGGATACTGCTGTTTGGGTCAGTGTTATGACCTACTTTTAATATGAGGCTTATTGAAATCACCAATCCAGGTTGCAGCAAGGCACTGCATTTGTGGTCACCTACCGAGTTTCTACTGCTGTTCCCATCACACTTGTCTGTGCTTTGAGACTTGATATGAATAGGTCACATTTGTGTGCTTCACTTCCCACTTGTAGAAGAGTTTACCTCTTCCTTCTCCTTTTCTCCTGTAATTAAATAGTCAGCTCCTCAAAAGAGATTTTTTTGCTGTCTTTCAGGGTCTGTTTGCAGATCACTGAACAGTAAAAGTATGAGCTGACATTAATTCTTAAAGCAAGAAATGGTTACAGAAAGACAGCCATGGATGGGGCTACCCCTTCTCCATGTAAGATCATCATGAACACTATTATTGTCCACAGATACTTGATATCAGAACACCACAGGCAGTTTTGCTGTTCATTATGTCCATGGCATACAAGGCAAGAAAATCACATCAAGGAAGAGAAAGATCAGACATGAAGAAAAGGTTTTTAATCAGAGAAGCCAGATTCCTTTTTTCAGTTGTCTTCTATATCCTTGTTTCTAGTTTCTTTAGGCCAAATATTCCCAGTTTGCTAATTCTTTCCCCTGAAATTTTGCTTTCCAGAATTCTTTGCTTTTCTCTGTGTTTTCCCTTCAGAACATATCACTTCTGCAGCAACTAGAACCAAACGCAGTGCGTTGTTGCGGCTTTATCACGAAGTACAAAGAAAGATTATTTCATTAACCCTGTGGTTCTGCTTGTGTTCTGAAATACCAGCTTAATGTCATTCTCCTGTTTCAAAGGGGGCTGTGTAATTCATGTTCTGTTCCTGAAATGTGACTTCTTGATCTGATCCTTTTCTTCTCTATTGGTCAAATGAATTATTCATGCCCAATTCTAGAACTTTCGAATTGTTTTTCCTTGTTGATTTCTGCCAATCTTGTTTTCACGTTTCATCTTCCAAGTAGCTGCAAGTATTTTCAGTTTTCTTTCCAGTACTTGCAACTCCTTCTACTTTTATTGGCCCCAAATTTGATAAACTTATTTTCTCAATATCTGGATTATTACTGAGAATATTGGGT